GTTTGGTGAATCAACACATGGTCTTGAGTCTGATGAGCCGATATATGATCTTGAATTTAATGGACCAACGTATGATTCAGTAGTTGTTGTTCAAGAAAATAAAGATGTCGGATTGGACTGTTCCAAAGAGAAGTTATATGAAGGAATGGTATTTAAAAGCTGAGAAGAAGCATCTGACACGTTAAAACTATATTCTCAATATGAAGGGTTTAAGCTAAGGAAAGGACGTGTTGAAAAGACTTCTAATGGAACTATACGAAAAAGAACAATGTTGTGTGAACACAGCGGCGAATATAAACCTAAAAACATGCAATTGACTAAAGAAACAAGCACAAAATATATCAAATGTCCGTGGCATGTAAATTTGTCACAACCGCAGAAGAATAATCCTAATGGAAATGTTTATGTTACCACTTTAGACAATAGCCATAATCATGACTTGTCCCCTTATAGAACAAAATTTTTTAATGATAGTGAACTTACCCAAGAAATGTATGATAGGGTAGAATTTTATGTGAATACTGTTAAGTTAAAGCCGCTACAAATTCAGAGGGCTTTACGAAAAGAATTTCCTGACCACGAAGTTTACCTTTCTGAAATTCATAAAGCAACAGCAAAATATTATAGTGGGAAACGAAAGGATATGTTAAATGATGCTGCATCATTGTACGAAGAATTAGTAAGAAGAAAAAATGAAGATCCTCGATGGTATGTTGCAATTGAGTGGGACCGAGAATCACATAGCCTTCAAAAGCTATTTTGGATGTCTCCCGATCAGATCATCCTTTGGATAGAGTATTGTGATATTATACTTAGCGATAATACCACAAAAACAAACCGATACGATATGGCCCTCTCACTTTTCTTATGTGTTAACAATCACGGGTCTTCCCGACTAGTTGGATGTGCGCTTATGAACGATGAGTCAGCAGATTCGTATCAGTGGGTTTTACGTCAGACAAAACAGGCTACTGAAGGCTATGTACCTGCTGTTATTATGACTGATGCTGATCCGGCTTTGGATCTTGCAATCTCCAAGGAGTATGAACAATCTTATGCCATGCATTGTATATTCCATATATCACAAAACCTTCCTCGAAATCTCGAGGCTAAGTTGGGTCAACAGTATCAGGAGTTTGTTCAAGATTTTTACACTGCTAGAAATTCTCTTGTTCCGGAAGTTTTTGAACAAAAATGGAAACAGTTAATTAAGAAATATAATGAGCCTAGAGTTGTAAAGTATCTAAAAACATTATATTCTTCAAAAAAAGCATGGGTACGTGCTTATATCACAAAGATATTCACTGCCGGCATACAATCAACGTCTCGCGTTGAGAGTTACAACGCTCAGGTCAAAAGGCTGGTTTTAAACTCTAATATTAGCCTACTCGAACTTGCTGAAGCCTTGGAAGCAAGTATAGAAGAGGAGATTAAAAAAGCAAAGTATGCTTATTGGAAGATACAAATTCTATTGACATCATCTGCCGCTACATTACCGCAAACATTATTTCCCGAACTCGATAAAGCTTTGAGTCGGTTTATTACACCTGAAATACAAAAAATTCAGCGTGCTGAAATTAAAAGTTGCCTAAATTATCATGCATCTGCTATCACAAAAGATGA